GCCATCTACCACGGGAGTATATCAAGTGTCTCTGCACTTCCTGAGGATACACGCTGTCAATGAGAGTCAGAGCTGCCAAAAGTAGCTCTGAACTACCGCAAGCATCATTATCCTGTTCTGTCATGATGCCAGCTTCGATGTGTTCTTGACTCTCAGGATAACCAATTGTAAGTATCTCATGCATCCTCATGAGGGTCTGCAAAAGGGTACGTGGTCCATATTCGCCTGGAGCAAGCGAACCAGGAGGTATGAACGGAATATCTGGTTCGCCTGCAATGAAGGCCTGAACAAATGCCTGAGACTCCATTTCAATTAAGTCTTCAGTGGTCTGGGGATATTCTCCCATCAAAGAAGGCCTGTTTCCAGGCGGGATTTCGGGCGGAGGTTCAAGGTTTCGTTGAACCTCGGAAGGCGAAGCCTCTATAGTGGTGTCCTCGTCGTCACTCTCGTAAGCCATGATGTTGCCTGGGTTCCCGAACATCCAGTCGAAGAATGAAAGAGGCTCGTTTCCAAGCGTACCGTGTTCCACGGGAGTGAGTTCGTTACTGCCCGTGACGAACCGGCGGACGTACTCGAGGTAGTACGCGTACAATCCATGACCATACCCCTCGAGCTCGTCGATGTTGTCCATGCCAACTACCCAAGTGAAAAATATCTGTTCCATAGCCTCAAAGTCCTGGAGGCTCAGATATTCAATGGATGGTGCACTTGAGCCAAAATGGACTTCGGACGACATGCCCTTTCCATTTCCCTTCGCTGGACAATCTCGCACAAGATGATCGGAACTACCACATTCATGGCATTTGAGAACCTGGCCGTCTCTACCTCGCGGGTTTCCCCGCCTACCTTTACCTTTACCTGAGGTCTCTCTACGGCCTTTACCGCGGCCTTTTCCCCCAAAGAATATCTCATCATGTTGTTCATCTGAGAACCTCTGGAGAAATGCCGCGATACCTCGCCCGTTCAACCTCCGACGACCACGCTTGCCTTTACCCTTTCCTTTAAAACTTCTGCGTATCCTCCTTCTAACACGACGCACTGGTTTTCGTGTGAACCTCCTCCACCTTCGTTTGGCCTGTTGTAACAGCCAGAATAAATGCTCAGCACGCTGATTGTCGTTATCCATATTCATGATATCTGACCAATCTAGAGCTTCAACACCATCTGATGATATAGTGTCTGTATCGGTGCCGGAGTCGAAATCTTCGTCTCCTAAATAGGTGGATACACCGTCGGTTAGGGGATTTGATTCCCCCCATAACGAGCGGTGTGGTTGTGGTTCTCTAGAAGGAGGGCTGGTTGCCCAGCTTGGTTGTGATCGATCCCCTGCTAATGAAGCAGTGGATTCTCCTGGGTCGTCGGCCCATATGCTTGAGGGCCCGTTTCCAGGCTGGGCTTCAGTGGTCAAGGTAGTGTAGAAATTTCCACTACCAATTTCCAAGGTAGTGTAGAAATTTCCAAACACAGATCCTAAGTTACCAGGAGACCGTTCGGATAGGTGGCCTATCGAACGCATCCTCTCCAGCAACTCATCATACTGTTGTTGTGTTCGAGGCATTTGGTGGTTGAGTGGCTGTAAGAGTTGCATGGCTTTCTGGTTGCCGACGCCTAAGGCGCGGAATAGGATAGTGGTTAGCAGTTGGAAGTTGGGAAGGTCGAATCCCACCGACTGTGCCTCAAGTCGGGCCATTTCGAATCGGGTAAGAGTGACATCGATTCGTTCCCCGTGAGGCACATGGAAGTCGATGAGTTGTGTGCCGGAAGTGAGCTGTCGCTCATCTTCCAGGCGTTCGAACTTCATGCTGAGGAGGAACATGATGTAAGTTACTGGGTCTGTGTGGACCCCATCAATGTCAGCACCATAGTTTATAATGTCAGGCGGTACCCTCATGGCGAGTGTCCTCGCTAGGCCACCTAGGCCGCGTTGTATTGCGGCCGCTTGGGCCTGTGGCGTCATACGTCCGCTTGTAACGTTGAGCCATGCGTTGACCTCGTAGATGTACTCACGAAAAGGTACATTACCTTGAGGGTCCCAATATGGGCCATGTGTTTGCCCATCGGTGCTGTTATCTCCACGACGCATGTGTCCGATTGCTGCCCCCAGCGCGAACCATATGATAGCGAAAACGATTAGCCCGAGAATGTGTAACGAAGGACGGTTATGATGCGCGTTGTCGCGCTGGGGTAGCGCCTTGTCGAGTCTTCGAGGCGCTCTGTCTGGCGGGTCTCCCCGCCCTTGCTTCAAGTATTGCGCTGTTAGCTCGTTGCCGAGCGGTTGGTAGTAACGCAATGATGAAGCGTATATGGTACCGGTTTGGTCGCCTAGACGTCGTACCTCTCGTGTTGCTTCTTGCTCTTGAATAGATCCTCGTAAACGTACTGGGAGTGGTGGCGCAGGGTGGTAGGTGGTCACGAAGATCGCGCCGAAGAATACGAGGCTAAGAAGAGCAAGAGCTGACCACACGAGAGTGCGGCCAGCTCCGCTACCAAGTCGAAAGTGAGCCTGGTAACTCAAATAGGGCATATAGCCTGGCAAATTGCATCCATCGCTCTGCTGTGAAGGTACAGTATGAGGGGTGGATGGGTAAGATAGGATAAGATCGATGTAGTGATCTTTCCAGCACATAGCGAACACTCGCGGTGTCCGGGCAAATAGGGCGCGCGTGCCTTGAGCCCAAGGCAGCGGCGCGCGAGCTATGCTCCCGATACTGTAACATCTCCCAAAGAGCTACCCTTAAAGTGCTATCTCAACATAGCGTTTCGAGGTGATAATGAAGTTCGGCCTCAGCGCTCGCCGCCCAATTTGAATTTTGTATAGGGCGACGATAATCAACTCTAAACACTGAAGGGGGGGGTCCCTTTATTATCATCGGCATGCGGTTACCCACCCTTGCTATTCGCTACTGTCTACTCCCTCATCCCTGTTCCCTGCTTGCTACTCCCTACCAGCCCTCTGGGCGTCGGTGGTTTAAAGAGTTTCCTCTTCCACTCCTCATTCTTCCCCTTCGGGGAGGGGTTTATCCCTCCCCCTACCCCCACCCCATGGACCTGGCCGGGGAATTCCGCTTTGTGCCAGAGCGTCCAAGATGGCCCAAGATAGCGCGAGACGCCTCGATATAGCTCCGAAGATGCTCCAAGGCGCTCCAAGACCGCTCCAAGACGGGTCTAAGTGGCCAAAAGAGCTCCCCAGTGATGCCCCGACGAAGCCAACATGCTTCAAAACCATTGGGCAAATCAATGTGTTTGGCGTTATCGCTTGTGCGCTTACGATGCCAATCCGAGGCCTCAACATCGCTCCAAGATAGCCCAACAGGGCCCCAAGAAGGGACCAACCGAGCCCCAAGACGGCCCCAAGAGCGCTCAAGAGTGCTCCAAACACGCTCCAAGATGGGTCCATGAGGCGATTTTGGGTGCTCCTGAGGGGGGGGCGTAATTAAGGAACACCCCTTCGTTGACCGATATCCTCCAATATGGCCCCAAGAGCGCCAGTAAAGTCTCCAAGAGCGTCCCAAGAAGGGACCAACCGAGCCCCAAGACTGCCCCAAGAGCGCCAAAGAGCGCTCCAAGAACGCTCCAAGATGGGTCCAGGAGGCGATTGTGGGTGCTCCTGAGGAGGGGCTGTAATCACACCAGCTCTCTGGGCGTCGGTGGTTTAGGGCGTTTCCTCTTCCACCCCTCCCTCTTCCCCTTCGGGGAGGGGTTTACCCCTCCCCCTACCCCCTTCCCTGGACCTGGACGGGGGGGGGGCGCGGGTAGTTCGAGCGTCCAAAACGGCCTCGGCGAGGAAGCCAAAATCACTGATGTTACTAGGGTCGTGGCCTCATGTTGGCCTCCTGGGGAGGGGGCGTAATTGAGGAACCCCCCTTCGTTGACCGATCTCCTCAAAGATAGCCACAAGAAGCGCCCAGGAGGCCCCAAGAGGTCCCAAGATGGCCCCAAGATCGCCCCAAGAGGCCCCCAAGAGGCCCCCAGGAGGCCCCCAAGAAGACCCTAAGCGGCCCCAAGAGGCCCCCCCCGAGGCACCCAAGACCCCGAAGAGCCCCCCAAGATCGCCAAGAGACCCCCAAGACGTCCCAAGAGGCCACCAAGAATCGCCCAAGAGATACCCCAAGAGGCTCCGAGAGGCATCCAAGAGACCTCTGGCCCTTGTGCTTGCCCTCCTCCTCCTCCTGTTCCTCCTTCCTGCTCCTACTCCTTCTCTTCCTCGTCCTCCTCCTCCTCCTCCGCCTCCTCCTCCTCCTCCGCCTCCTCCTCCTCCGCCTCCTCCTCCTCCGCCTCCTCCTCATCCTACTCATCCTCCTTATTCCCACTCCCTCATCCATCCATCCATCCACCTCCTCCTTCTCCTCCTCACTCCTTTGCACAGTTCGGCCGTCCTCCTCTTTGCTGCCGCACTTCCCTGATCACCTCAACTCGCCTGGATATCGTTTCTGGATGGGCTGGTGGGGATACGCGAAGCGTCTAGGATAGATTCCTTACTCTCTACTTCTTTCCCACTACTCACTGCCCACTACTCACTACTCGCTAATCTCTACGCACTACTCACTACTACCACTACCCAGTACCCACTACCTCACTACTCACGACTCACTGGGCACTACTCACTATCAAATACCCACTACTCAACAATCCCTACTTCAAACACTCTACTCTCTACTCACTACCCAGGCCCCCTCCCCAGCCCCCTGCTCGGCGCAAAGGGGGGGAGGGGAGGGGGGGGTTCGACCCCCCCCCCTTCCAGCGCCATGGGGGGAAGGGGGGTGGGTCCGGACCCCCCCCCCTTCAAGGGGGGGATGGGGGGGGGGGGTCGGACCCCCCCCCCCTTAAGGGGGGAGGGGGGGGGGGGGGGGGGGGAAATCTCACCCCCCTTTTGAAAGGGTGGAGGGGGGGGGTTCTGCGAGCACCCCCCCCTGTTGTGTATGCGGGGCCGTCCACTGGCGCGTTCTCACAAGTTCGCCGTATGGAGTGCCGTGCAGTTCGGTCTCCCCACGCTCAGGCACCATGCCCCCGACGACGCAGATCGGGATGGAGGCGAACGCCGCGCCGATCTTGCCGACGGTGCCGAAGAGGATCAGCCAGAAGGCGCAGCCGAAGCCCGCCGCGCGCGACGCGCAGCGCGTGAGGGCGATGACGCCGTTGTTCTGCGAGAACGTCGTGTTGGGGGGCGCACTCCGCGGGCCCCCCCTCTGCCCGGGGGCCCTCGGCGGGCAGGGCTCGAGGGCCGAGCAGAGACTGGAGGAGCCAAGGATGGGCAGATGCTCCACCACCGCTGCCACAAGTAGGACGGGGGGAGAATGGAGGATGAGGAGGTCCTCCTCCTTCGCCTCCTCCTCCTCCTCCTCCTCCTCCTTCTCCTCCTCCTTCGCCTCCTCCTCCTCCTCCTCCTCCTCCTCCTCCTCCTCCTCCTCCTCCTCCCTCTCCTACCTATGGTGGTGGTGGTGGTGGTGGAAAAGGGGCCAACCATCCAAGATCGAGGTCCGAGGATCGAAGCACATGGTTCGCCCACGGTGGCATCTCGGGGCCCGGCGCGCCCTCCGCGGCGAAGCAGACATCGGCCCAGGGCGGGGGCCTGGCCGCGATGGACCCCAGGAGGGCGTCGGCAACCCAACTCTGACGTGGCTGGCGGCGCAGAAAGCGCACAAAAAACATCGTACCTGGCATGGCGCATACGCCCCCGGGGCCGCGGCCAGGAATTTCCAGGAAGGTCCATGCAAGATGGGCCTGCACCATCCTGGGGCCGGCGGCCAAGGATGGGCCAAGCATGATTGTGGACAGAAGAAGGAAAACAACTGCATAAACATACAACTGTCTCCGCGCCGATGTCTTGGATCTTCCAGGGGCGGCGCCAGAAGCGCCGCCAGGGCGCTCCTGGCGGTGATCCAAAAAGTCCGCGCGGAGCGCCAAAGAACGTTATGTTTATGCCGTTGTTTCTTCTTCGACCCCTCCCCCATCCACCACCGCCCCAAAGCCGAAAATCCTGTTATCAGAGGGAGGGCGGCCCCGTCGCCCCCCCGCCCCAGGGGTCGAGCGGAGCTCCGCGAGGGCCCGTGGATCAAGAGGCACGCCAGGACCGAGTTGACGCCGTCTGCAAGGAGGCCGCCCTGGCGAGGGGAGGCGGCGCGGGGTGACCGACCCAGGGGGACAGACATACGCCTGGAACCGAGGACACGTCGCCGATGCATCGGCGACAGGCCCCCGATGGCGAGGCCGCGCACTCCTGGGCAAGGTGGGGCGGCCAGGCCCCGATCCGCAAGGACTGGGCGACCAGGCAATCACGTTCCTCCTCCAAAGACAGTCCCCCATTCGGCGCCCATGGCGGAGGAGGAGGAGGAGGAGGAGGAGGCGGCGAAGGAGGAGGAGGAGGAGGCGGAGGCGGAGGAGGAGGGGAGGAGGAGGAGGAGGATGGGGGAGGAGGAGGACATAGGCGAAGGAGGAGGAGGGGAGGAGGCGGAGGGGGAGGAGGGAGGAGGAGGAGGAGGAGGAGGTGGAGGAGGAGGAGGAGGAGGAGGCAGGAGGAGGAGGAGAGAGGAGGAGGAGGAGGGAGAGGAGGGGAGGAAGAGGGGGGGGGAGGAGCAGGATGAGGAGGAGGAGGGAGGAGGAGGAGCAGGAGGAGGAGAATGACCTGGATGCGCGAGTTGTAGTCGTCCCCCTCCGCCGGGATCTGCGAGGCCACGCAGGACATGCCGATGTCGCCGACGGTCTCGGCCGCCGACACGAAGTAGGCGATGAGGATCGGTAGAAGATCCGACGGCCCCGTGCCTGCCTGCTTCCTGCTCCAGCCCAGGCGCAAGGCTCGCAAGCCCGATCCAGGAGCGCGGACAAAAGCGACACCACCACCACCAGGGACCACCAGCGGGAGGAGCCAAAGGGGGGGCGCCCCGCTGGCGGTGTGGTCCCACCCAGCTCTCGCTCGAGACATCCCCTCTCCCCCGGCGCGGGGAGGCATCTTGGACCTCCTGGCTAGAGGTGCCCCCCCCCTGCTGGTGGTGGTGGTGGTGGTGGTGGTGGTGGTGGTGGTGGTGGTGGTGGTGGTGGTGGTGGTGGTGGTGGTGGTGTCGCTAGTCCTTCCTCCGCGCGGATGTGGTGGGCTGCGCAGGACCACCCCTGCGGCGCCTCCTGCGCCGACCATCGCGCGATCTGCGCGCCAGGGGAGGGGGGGGGCAGCGCTGACCCCCACAGATCCGCCAGGAGCTTACCCGAAGTGCATGTCCATGCCGGGCGCTGCTTGTCCCAGGGACAAAAACCGCCAGCGGGATGCCAAAACCAAGGGGTTCTGTTGATCTCCATGGCTCGAAAACTGATGCTCATGCCGTCTGTCTTCTTCGAGGAAGGATGGAGAGCGGAGCGCGGCGCCGAAGGCCCCGCCGCCCCCCGCTGCCTGCCCGATCCGCGGCGCTGCCACAGCCCGAAGGGGGGGCGGTCGGGGGAAAGCGGCACCAGCCCGCCGGGCTACTCCGGGGCGAAGCCGAGGTACTCGAAGAAGTTCGTCTTGTGGAAGTTCGGCGGCGAGCGAGGCGGGGAAGCGAGGGGGAGGAGGCCCTCTCAGAAGGCGGCGGGGCTTCTCAGAAACGCTCGCGCCTGCTGAGAAGTTTCCGGTGTCTTCGGGGAAGGCTTAGAGAACGTCTCAGAAGGCAGGTGGACTTCCGAGCCTTCTGAGAAGGCCTTCTCCTTCTCACTTCCCACCTGGGCTCGCCGCCGAGAAGTATGTGAAGTCGGGTGCCTCGTCGATGGCGTCGCTGTCAAAGAAAGAATACTGTTTGCCCACCGTTGCGGCAGCGAAGCCTCCAAGACACAAAGCGTCAGGCTCCGCCGTGCACGTGACCTTGTCACCCGCCACGGCTGTGTACGAGACAAGCGAGGCAACGACGACGCCGAACATGAGCGACCAGAAAATGAACCTCCCCTGCCACCCCTGCCGCTGCGCCTTTTGCTACGCCTCCGCCACTGATCCGCAGACGGCCATCCTAAGACTGTACGCGCCCCGTGGAGGAGTACGTCCGGCTGGAGCTAGCCACGGCCCTTACACTGCGAGGTGCTTCGGTATGTGCGTCGCCCAGGTGCTAGCGACGCGCACTCAGCGCAACTCAGCGCAACACAGCACTCAGCGCAAGCACATCTGACCCCGACCGTTTCGGAATACCTTGCGGGACAACGGAAATCTAGGACCCCAGACTTTTTTGCTGACTTGTGTGACCTGCTGACCTGTGTGACCTTGTGTGACCCCAGACTTTTTTGCTGACTTGTGTGACCTTGTGTAAATCTATCTACGGAGCGTGAAATTGTTCAAACTTTTTGCTTGTCTGACCTGCAGGAGAACGTGCATTAGGGTCAGGTCGAGCGCGCCCCCCTACAGGCGGATTGTGGACGACAAATGGCCAAAATACCACAAACATATTCAAACAATGATGGACAAAAATAAATAAAAGAAACGCCCCAGGCCCAAAAGAGGCCCCAAGAGGCCCAAAAACGGCCCCCAAGAGGCCCCAAAACTCGGCTAGCCCACAACGGTGCGACAATATGGGCCGGCGGAATGAGCGAAGCGATTAAATAATAAATAAAAAAACGCCCCCTGACTATTTTCTGACTAGTTTTGAATATTCCTCCTGTAGAGGGACATGCCCTACGAAGAGAGACATCGAGCTGGAATCCGCGATGCATCGCCGATAGATCGGCGACAGGCCCCCGATGACGAATCCGCACATCCCTGGGCCGAGCGGGCTACCAAGCCCCACCGGCGACGGACTGGCAATTGTGGGGGTCGATGCGTTTCTTCCTGAGCCTACCCCTCCTAACGTTGCCCCTGCCTGCATCCTCCGCCTCCTCCTCCTCCTCCTCCTCCTCCTCCTCCTGCTCCTCCTACTCCTCCACCCACTCCTCCTGCTCCTCCTCCTCCTCATCATCATCCTCCTGCTCCTCCTCCCCACGCCCCTCACCCTTCCCCTTCTCCTTCTCCTTCTCCCACCCCAACCTCCTCCTCCTCCTCCTCCTCCTCCCGCCTCCTCCTCTCCTCCTCCTCCTCCTCTTCCTCCTCCTCCTCCTCCTCCCCCTCTCTCCCCCTCCTCCTCCGCCTCCTCCTCTCATCCTCCTCTCCTCCTCCTCCTCCTCCTCCTCCTCCTCCTCCTCCTCCTCCTCCTCCTCCTCCTCCTCCTTCTCCTCCGCTCCTCCTCCTCTCGTCCTCGTCCCTCCTCCTCTTCCTCTCCCTCCTCCTCTTCCTCCGTCCTCCTCCCTCCTCCTCCCTCCTCCTCCTCCTCCCTCCTCCCTCCCTCCCTCCCTCCCTCCCTCCCTCCCTTCCTCCCTCCCTCTCAAGCAACTATGGCCCAGGTTTCCTTGTCCGGGCCAGCTCCAGGACCTCCCCGTGGTGCTTGAGGGATGATGTCGCGGCGGTCACTTGTTTGAACGCTCTTGACATCAACAAACACTGGAGCTTAGTTGTGCTACGGGATGGGTGCCGAAGAGTGGCGCCCAAGGCTCACCCCGCGGGAGCGCAAAGCCCGTCGGGCTTGGGCACAGTGGTCGGCTGAACGAGCCATCCACCGCCTGACCTGTGAGGTGGAGCACCTCCGCAAGTTGCTGCAGCAGAGGGAAGGCGAAGTTGGAGCCCAACGTGATCAGCTACGATTATGGGATGAGGGCAATTTTGAGGCGAAGTCGCAGCCCGACGTCGCCAGTGACTTTCGCACGGTGTACGCGGGGCCCTCTCGGACACCTCTGTGCGAGAAGCGGACGGCGAAGTTAGAGCCCGACACTACAAGCCTAGCCCTCGACCCAGCCACCGAGAGCGAGAGGACGGAAGGCGAAGGTAGAGCCCGATGTGATCCTCTGCAAAGCGGAGATCAGGGCAAGCGGGAGGCGAAGACAGCCCACTGCGAGAAGGGAGCGGCGAAGTTGGAGCCTAATGCCACTAGCCTAGCTCTTGATCCAACCGATATGTGCAAGATGACGGAAGGCGAAGCTGGAGCCCGACGCGGTCAGCTACAATTCGGGGATCAGGGCATGTGCGTGGCGAAGTCGCAGCCCGAAGCCGTCGGCGATCTCCTTCGGACACCTCTGTGCGAGAAGCGGACGGCGAAGTTAGAGCCTGACGCTACAAGCCTGGCCCTCGACCCAGCCAACGAGAGCGAGAGGACGGAAGGCGAAGGTAGAGCTCGACGTGATCCTCTGCAAGTCGGAGATCAGGGCGTGCTTGAGGCGAAGGCAACCAACTGCGAGAAGGGAGCGGCGAAGTTGGAGCCCGATGCCACTAGTTTAGTTCCTAATCCACCCAATGTGTGCAAGATGACGGAGGGCGAAGCTGTAGCCCGACGCGATCAGCTACAATCCGGGGATCAGGGCATGCGCGTAGCGAAGTCGCGACGGAGCATCCGCGGGTACCGCTTCACACCGAAGGAGGTGACTCCCGCGGCCGATCGGGTGGCGAAGGAGGCGAGCTACGCTGCTGCTGTGGCTGCCGCTGCTGACGCCATGGTTTCGATTGCACCAGCGCCCGCTTCCGCGTCCATTTTCGGTGCTGCAGCTCCGGGTGCGCAAGGTACCGATTCACTTCAGAACTCAGAGTGCACGTCTCAATGATTGTTCTCTGCGTGAACGGCACAGTCGGCCTCAGTATCCTTCTGCTGTTATGCGGCCAGGCCTTCGGCAGGGTTCTTCTACGTCGTCTGAGGTGCCAGAGGTTTTAACTTGAACTCGCTTCGCGACTGGTCTTATCTTATCTTATCTCCCTTCCTCCCTCCCTCCCTCCCTCCCTCCCTCCCTCCCTCCCTCCCTCCTCC